TAGCTCTTTGTCTCTGACATAAATTGCAAATATCTTTCTTCATTTGTCATTTGTCTTCTGACTTAGCTCTTAATGGTTTTTTGTTTGTTTGTTTGCCTTGCAAAAGGTTTTTCTTGTTTTGTTTTGTTTTGCTTTAATGAAGTCACATTTATCTATTTTTTTCTTTTTTGCTTCAGAACTTCGAGTCATAGATAGGAAGATTTTCCCATCTTCCAGGTTGCAAAGGAATTCACCTACTTTTTTTCTAGTAATGTGTGATTTTATTTTTTATATTTAGCTATCTGATCCATTTGGAATTTATCTTATTTGGTATGAGAAATAGATCCAATTTTATCTTTTTTCCAAATGGCTGTCTAGTTATTACAATACCATTTATTACAAAGTCAAACTTTCCCTCTACTTATTTTAGATACCACCTTTATCATATGCTAAATTTCTGTGTTCCTTGGGTCTATTTCTAGGCTTTCTATTCTATTTCATTGTTCAGGCCATCTATTCATGTGCTAATACCACAGTTTTAATTGTCCTTGTAGAGGCTCTATAGACATTGCCTTTTTAAAAAATGTTTTGCTGAATACTCTCTGCCCAAGGGTGAAGGCATAGTGATTTTTTTTCCTTAGTGTTGGTCAACTGTTGATGTGTTCAATGTCCTCTCAGTGCTGACAGCAATAAATAGAACTGATAAAAGCTGAGATTTCTGCACAAGCCTCACTCCTCTTCCCTGCATGTGAATAATGGTTGATGTCAGACTTTAAAATTATGATGTTAAATCCAATATAAGCTGTTTATTATCCATATGACCTAATCTACTGGTCTAGTGAGCTCTAGTCTATTGAGCTGATCTACTGAGCTCTCTAAGCCTCAGTTTTCCTGTACGGAGACAAGAGTATCTCATGTAGTGATTGGGAAGACTAAATGAGATAATCCATGTAAAATCCTGCCACAGTCTATATTATTAGCTTATGACTTATCTCCACAAAGCATTTTTGAAAGTTACCTCTCAGAGTTTTACCTTTCCCCCTACATTGTCTTCCATTCAAATAAGTAATGCCATTTTGCTAAATTAGCACGTGTTTCCTCCTAGCAAAGTTCCTCCTAGTTAAGTTTTACTAGTTCCACTGGCTATGGTGATGGTGGTGATGATCACTGAAGGTCTTCTTGTGTGATTTCAGGTTGTGATTTTGATTTCTTACTGCCGTCTTATTGAAAAATACACAGCCATTAAGAAATCAAGCATTCATCCTGTCTTTTCAATAGGAATTGTATCATTGGGTAATGAAATAATATTGAGTGAAAATATCTCTTTATTATAAAGTGTTCCAGCTAATAAATGAAAAAGAAGTGACAGAATCAGAATATTACCACTTTGCAGACCTCAATTATTAATAGATCTAGGCAATAAGCATTACAGCTGCAAACATCACAAAAAAAGAGAAAATCAGTCAATTATGTTTCCAATGAAAAACACACCACATGTATGGTCTTGCCAAAGAGATCTAACTTGAATCTAATTAAGCCTCTGAATTCCAATCTGCAGAAAATACAGAGGACAGAAAGATATGCTGATTTGTACCATAAATATGAAGTTGGCAAAATGCAGATCAAACAACCTAGGTTTTGCAATAGATACATTGTAAGCAAAATATAGGGATAGAGGGAAAACCTGTAGATTTAAAAAGACTTAAAAAAAATCAATTGTCAAAAATGATCAAGAATGAAGTATGGTGTCTAGGGATAGTATCTGTATTCGTCGAAAGTTCTCCAGGGAAACAGAACCAATAGGATATACAAGGGTACTTCAAAAAGTTCATGAAAAAATAAAATTAGAGGACAATTTAAATCTTTCCATGAACTTTTTAAAGTACCCTCATATATACATACACTCACACACATATATATATATATATCTATGCATGTATATATGTGTGTGTGTGTATAGGGAGAGAGAGAGAGGTTTATTTTAAGGGATTGGCTCATGTAATTGTGAAGGCTTCTCAACTACAAATCTGCAGGGTAAGCTGGCAGGCTGGAGACCCAGGTAAGAGGTACACTTTAAGTCCAAAGGCAGTCTGCTTGTAGAATTCCCTCTTCTTCCAGGGAGGTCAGACTTTTTTTATTAAGACCTTAACTGATTGGATGAGTCCTACCCACATTATGGAGGGCAATCTGCTTTACTCGAAGTCTACTGATTAAAATGTTAATCTCATCTAAAACATACCTTCACAGAAACATCTAGAGTAATGTTTGCTTGACCAAATATCTAGGTGCCATGGCCTAGTGAAATTGACACATAAAAAAGTATACACATTTGGATGATAAAAAAAAGTGAAAACATACAGGAAGTGAAACTATAAAAGTCAGGAATGCCATTTAATTTGGGGAGGAAAGGGGAGTTTGAAACTATAATGTAACTATAATTGGGGCATAGAGGGGCTTGCAGGATGGTTGAACAAGTTTTATTTCTTGATCCGAGTGTTGGTTGTGACTGTATTCATCTTCAAACAGATTCTATTTAGAATATTAATAGAGATTATATTTATAATACATAATAATAATTACTGGCTACAATTTGTTTAGTGTGGTTTTCTGTATCTGTATTAATTTTACAATAAAAAGATTTTTTTTAAATATTCTGTGTTAAAGAGGGTTTAAACAAAGTTATGTTAAACATTTTGGGGTTAAAAGGTATAGTAATGATCCTGATTTTTTGTATAGCTCACTATCTAATGAGAAACAATTTCAAAGGAGGTCTGCAAATGTTTGAGTAATAGTATCACTGTTTTAAAGATAAAATATACCTTGGTAACTATTTTTAAGTGAAAATTCTTATTTAAATGAATAATTTTCAGTACATTTAAAAATTATTGTATTTGAATTACATATATATGCATTTATTATTGTGGGGAATATCAAGCTGGATGGGGATTGTGAAATATCACTTATCCACCTCCTTTTCTTAGGGCAGAACTGTGGAAATGATCTTGAAACAAAATTTAATTTTTTTCTTTCCGTTTTCTTGCCTCCCCCATTGCCTTACATTTTTCCCACTCACCTCTTCTTCTTTCTACTCTCTCAAAGTATCAGGAAGCTAACAAAGATTAAGCTTTAGGAGCCCCACTTCCACTGCCACTTCCAAGACTCTAGTAGTGTATCTAGAGATGTATTTACTTGGGTATGTTTTTTTAAAGTTTGCAAAAGTAAAAGATTTTGACCTCAGTTGGTCAAGATTCTGTGTCTTTGGTCAAATGTTGCTTCATATCTGGTGGTACTGAGTGGCTGCAGGTATTTCTAGGATTCAGTCACGATGAAACTAAGTTGGGGATACAGTAATTTGTGTTAGTGAGGCATATTTATTGGTTCACATTCACTTCCATTGCTAGATAGGTTTTTGCTCCCTGTGCAGGTGTAGGAATGGTATCAAGGAATATTTTGCTGATTTATCCTGCATGGTGACATGAGGGATAGGGCCCAAGGTCACATCACTATGTGAAGATGTCTTATAACAACAGATATTAGAAATATATGAGTAAATAAGTAGAGGCTTCAGTTCTCACTGGTGCCTAGTCAGAATGAAAGGAATATTCTTAGTAATACAGAACGTGCAATTAAAAACAAAATTTTTGTGTGTTTTGATGAGAACCATACAAAATAAAATTTGTCAGAGTTCCTATATTTTTAACCTATGTTATGATATTGCTCAGCTTTCCAGAATGGTAATCAGTTGTGATTTTTCTTATTCTAAATAACCACTTTCATACTTAAAAAAGGGTTAGGGGCAGTGGGGCAGCATACCGTATATAACTGTTTCAATGGTATTCCCAATACTAAATTTCCTGATGTTTATTTTTATTTTGTCTTGACAAAATTTGTACTAGTTTGTGAAAGAGAAAAGAGATATTTTTCTAGATCTTTTTTTGGAGGGAATACAAATGGTATTTTAACGTACAGATGGTCCCTGACTTGCAATGGTTCAACAATTATTTTTCAACTAGGATGGTGCAAAAGTGATAGGAATTCAGTAGAAACCGTACTTTGAGTTCTTTGTAGGTATTTTTTGGTAGCTGGCCAGTATGGGGATCTGAAGCCATGACCTTCATGTTACCAGCATCGTGCTCTCCCAAGTGATGTACTTCAAGTTTTGAATTTTGATCTTAACCCCAGCTATCGATATGCGGTATTATACTCCCTTGTGATGCTGGGCCAAGTCATCTAACATAAAGCCTACTTTATAATAAAGTATTGAATATCTCATGTAATTATTGGATACTTTACTGAAAATGTTCTGAACATTTTTTTTTTTTTTGTGACCGGTAAGGGGATCGCAACCCTTGGCTTGGTGTCGCCTGCACTGCGCTCAGCGCACCGGCCATCCCTATATAGGATCCGAACCCGCGGTGGGAGCGCCACACTCTCCTGAGTGTGCCACGGGGCTGGCCCGTTCTGAACATTTTTAAAGTAAGCTAGGCTAAGCTTCAATGTTTGGTAGGTTAGGTGTATTAAATGCATTTTCTACTTAATGATATTTTCAATTTACAGTGGGATGGGATGTAAATCCATTGTAAGTCAAGGAGCGTCTGTATTTATTAACTGCCAGTAAAACTTTTAATGAGATATTTCTTCTGCAAAAGTGAGGGGGAGGTAATGGGCTATAACATTCTTCTGACCTTATTTTAACACTAAACGAAATTAAAGGCACTAACTAGAACCCTGCTGGATGAACGAGGTTTATGACTAGATCACTTGATCTCTGCATTTAGGTCACATTGAAACAAACATTATCTTAAAAAAGAAGAAAAATAGGTACTATAAAGTCCAACTGAGATATTCCTCAAGCACATTTTAAATATCAAAATTAAGTGTCCATGCCACCTATGCCACCTACAGTAAAAACTATTGAGTTTTTCCTCAAATTATAATTTTTATTTCAGTCATAGTTAGTTTCTGTCCAGAAGGTATTTTCGACATTTTCAGGGCTGACGAATAACATTTGAATATAGTGGTTAAAACTGTTCTTCTTGTGGTAATGAGTATATATAGGCTGCCTGGAGGTACAGGTATGAATTAAATAACTTGGAATATTCTGGGTGCTTCAGGGCAAATTTCTTAAAGCTTTTGTATGAAATGTGTAATGAGTTCTGTCCAGCTATTTCCTGAAAGATTCTGGAAACATCAAGATCTGGCACTCCAAAAGCTGCCCAAAGAATAGCCAGCAAACTCTTTTTCTGCTATGTAACCATCCTCATCAAGATCAAAAAGCTTAAAGGACTTTTGCAGAATCTTTTCACTGTTGGTAGGATTGCAAAGGACAGTCAGACCTATCACGTAGTCTCTGAAGTCTATGCTGCCATCACTATTCCTGTCAAACAGGGTGAAAAGTTGTCTCAAGGGCTCTGAAAGTGGGAGTTTTAGATAACTTGAAAACTCTTCAATTCCTATCTTCCCTCCTTTTGAGGCAACTGCAATTGCAGCATATTCATCCAAATGCTTATGAACATTATCCCAATCTAATTTCAATTTCTGGCTAATTTTTGTAAATTCCACCAAACCAGCTTCCATGGGTAGTTGAAGATTACTTGCAGAAATCATCAGTCTGCAGCCTTCATAAGTGTGGTCTGTCACAGACACTCTCAGAGCATTTGCCATGTTGATGCGAACTGTATTGGCAAAAAGGAGGGGGTCTTTTTTTTCTTCATCATTTGGGATATAAACAGGCATAAATTCAACTTCCACCCCGGTGAAGGGCTGACTCAGGGTCAACATACAGGCCTGGAAGCCTGTAAACCCCTGCTAGGTCCAGGTCACCATGTCCAGGGTGTTTGGGTATCTGCGCAGCACTGGCTGCACAGGAACACCTGGAAGGAAGGCCCCTAATCAGAATCTGTGGCTACTTGCTCCTGGATGTCACTTGCTTGAGAATCTCATTCCAGGTATTCTTCCTGGAATCCGGGTCTTCTCGGCTCACAAGCACCGGCTGTGTTGACAGTAGGAATTTCCCAGCCACCAGTATCCGCATGATTTGACTTGCAGAGACCACGGAGGATAACCCCGTCACCACGCAGGCGACTGCATCAAAGAAAGTGGAGTGCGGCCCTGTCACGGGGATAGGAGCCTCGTCTAGGGTTGTCTTTTTCCCTTTCACTTTAACCACGAGCCCAGCGAAAAAGCACCACCTGAAACAAGAACTTGAGGGCTGTTGTCACCAGTTTCCTTCTCCAACTCCTGGAAGGCTTGGCTGGTTGAGCCACACGACCAGTGGTGGAAAGCGTGGCCACCAGCCAGAGGAAGATAAAGAGGAAGGCGATGCAGGACACCCGCACCAGCACCAGAACAGTCCCCATGAGGATAATGCGGGCCCAGCGCCAGGTGGTAATGAGCATCTGCTGCACAAAGGGGTTGGCCGTGACTTGATTACCTCCTGTTCGACCTCGGACTCCCACACCTCCACGTCGGAGTCAATGGACTGCCCAGCCATGAAGCTAATTTCTCAGGAGGTGGGTAGCCTATATCTGCAGAGGCCTCCAGCCTGCACCCCTTTCCCACATGCAAGTGCTCTTTCTGTTTGCATATAATTAGAACTCTTAGAGGCAATTGTGGGTTAGAAGGAAATGATGTATTCTCTTTAACATGAGAAAAATCAAAGATGGTAAATGATGTAACAGGAGGATTAGAATCATATCAACAAAATCTTCTATTTTTGCAGACATCTTGCTTTTGACATATAGGCTTAATAAATTATTTTCACATAACAATTTATGATGTTTATATTATGTATATATAGTATACCTATGGTGATATATTAATTTGAATAGATAAATAGTAATTACAACTTTTAATTTAAGTGCCATCACTGGTAAAGTTCACTTACTGTGAGCTGCTTTGGCAGCTGGTAAGTCAAATGCATTCACTCTCCCTACAAATTCATTTCTACAGAAACAGGACCATCTCTTTAACCTAAGAGGTTTAACTGATGGCGCCCTTGAATCTTTCTGTCTATTATGAGCACATTTCCACATCCACTGAAAATTAGAGAACGTTCATTATAATAGGCCAGAATCATACAGGGCATATTTGATTCATATTCTTAACATTAGTCCACATGAACCAGTCAGCATTCCAAACTGACTAACAGCCACCACCAATCTTAAAATCACCTTTGTTACTAACAAGTTTTCATTGAAATAAGTCAGGATTACTTGATAGTGTCAACACACACAGTCAGCAAGTCCTGATCCTTCTCTCATTGCTGCTCTTTGGAAGTGATCAAGAGGAATGAACAATCAAAGTTGGTGTGAACCAGGCTTTCCCTGTCGTATTTGCGACTCTGACAATGCTATACAGAGTATTCCTGTGTTTGCTAATTGCTAATTTGAATTCATTTTCCTAGAATTAAAAGTGAAATTGTAGTTTTCTGAGAAATGTTTCCAACTTTTGAAGCACACCAAGTTACTGCTAAAACAGCTGTGTGGATACCAAACCCTATTAAACTGAATGTGATGTTAGTGGAAAGATCATCGGCTTTACAACCAGATGGATCAAGGTCAGATCCCGGTTCCAATAATTACACTGTGGGAGTTGGCAAAGTTACTCGTTAAACCTCATTTTCACACGTATAAATTGGTGATACTCCCTACCTTGCAATTTTGTTATGAGGTGCCAGTTTAATGTATGTAAAGGATTGGGTTTTTATTGTAAATAAAAGTTGCTATGATACAATAATGAGGGTTCTTAGGGACATTCCACTTTCTTCTGTCACTATCAGAATTACGGTAGTGAGGGAAATGTTCCTTTCATCAGTTTACGGATTATTTGGGAGCTCAGTGTAGTCTCTAAGGTGCTGTACTTTGGCAGTTACTTGTCTCCCACATCCAAGGAGAACACCCCCAGAGAATGAGCAGTAGTGCCTTGAGCTGGTATTGTTCTCCATTTTGTAACTCTTACTTGTAATGTTCATTTCTACTCTTGAACCCTTGTTTAACTGCATTCTATTAACTTCCTTAAAGGAAAGTTTCATGCTAAACTAAGTTACATTAACTTCTTTAAGGGAAAGTTTCATGTTACCATGTCGTCTTTCCGTTACGTTCCTCCAATGTTGCCTAGTAGTGTGTCAGATATATTATTTGTTTTTTAAGCAGGTATTTGAGTACTTGCAATGTACCAGGTCCTTATTCTGCTCTTTGGAGCTTAGATTCTAGTGCATGTAAAAGTATAGTGTTCATTCCTGTTGCATTGAATGGGGCAAAAGGACGTTTTGATCCTTTTTCTAAATCTCTTACCAATTAAGCTGGAGAATTAAGGTGAGTAATTTAATGAATGTATAGTTTGCAATGTTTAACAATTATATGTATATATATATAATTATGATATTTATATTTATGAGAATCTCCACATCATTTCTTGGTTAATGTGGCAAGATGTCAGTTTTAAAAAATAGTGTTCCACCAGCCACCAAAAATAGATAGATAGATTAAATAAGTAAGTAAGTAAGTAAATGTAGTGGATTGATTTATGTCCCCCCAAAACTCTCTGAAGCTTGAATTGTGTCCCACAAGTTTTATGTTTTAGAAAGTTGGACCCCACTATGACTGTTAAGAGGGTAATTATGGTAATTCAATTTCCTATTATGGTAATTGAAATGTGGGGCCTTGAAGAGGTGATTAGATTTTAGGACCATGCCATAGTGAATGGATTAAAAATGGTGGTCAGGGGCCGGCCCGGTGGCGCACTGGATAAGTG